TGTGGGTTGCATTGTCTTGGTTTACACGAACGGCTGACAGTTCAAGACATCGCGTTCACTACTCAGCCTAGTAAATCCGATGTAACTCCACTACGGAAGGTTCAAAGCTATATGCTACCTATCCCGATGCAATACTATTCGCGGGAACTCTAGAGAGAATCGACGCCCTTGTTTTCATTCATGTGGGGGATTGTTGGGAAAATTGGTTAAAAATTGAGTCATGAACAATTTTTTATCAATGTTATTGTACGGTCTAATTGAGTATATAAATGAATTTTGGATTATAACCAATTTTGTGGTGAATGAAAAAAATACTAGTCCAAAATATAAGGAAAGTGGGATTTGAGTTATCCCACATTGGAAAAGTAGAGAAGTACTGAGCTGTATAGATATCAAAATATTGGGACGGGCCAAAAACATTAGGTCATGGGTTTTTAACCCATTGGGCCCTTATTACTCGAAGCCCATCTCGATTGGTCTGATTGGTCTGAATTGGTGCGGCCGAACCAATGTAAACCATTCGGCTCAACTCGAAATGGTGCAACCACTCCCAATTGGCTCAACTCGAAATGGTGCAACCATTCAAAACAAAAGGTACCTTTTTGCTCCAAAGGACACTACTTTTCGAACCTTATAAATAGACCCTAACTTTCCCAAAATTCCTCACTTCAATCCAAAACAAGCCTACTACATATTAAGCCTACCCTTCACAAATTCTCTCGAAAAGTTCTACACAAAGTACAGTTCGTCGTACTTGGGATTTGGAGTGCTCCTATTCCAAGTTTTGTCGTTGTATCTTGGGAGACGATTTCCATTTAATCCGTTAGCACCGTTGCGGGGAAATTTCGTCTTAAGGACAGAGACAACTCGCCTCGGCAAAATTCTCGTTCATAGCAGATTTCCAACAATTAATTAATTTGTTCAACCAATTTACTAAATTCACTACCCCTTTTATGTATCGGGAGCAACAGTATGTGCATCAATCAACAATCACCAAATCATGCTTATTCATATACTACACTACACACACATATATATATATATATATATATATATATATATATATGTGGAGGAGAACGAAGAGTTCATATATATATTATTAAATCCTAATTAGATTTGATAAATCCGATTAACCCAGCATTCTGAACCAGCGATGTGGCATTAACCACCGTGCCGACAGGAATAAGAGCCGAAGTAAGAACTCCGGTGGCGGTGCTGAGCACCGGGCACACCAGAGTGCTCAGTGGAAGCTGCACGGTGGCAACACATGGAATAATAGGCAAGCCAAGTGTGAGACCTCCCATTGCCCGAACGTATATGTTAAAGATTCCGTTCACATCAGTGATTCCTCGGCCAAGCACGGTGGCACCGACACCAAGAACGGTGCAGTCCAGGCTTACGGTTACTCCGGAAACACCTCGGCCGGGGCAGTTTCCGGTGGGGGTGCAGCAGAGTGAGCCGCTGACACTGAGGCCGAGCGCCAAATGGCCGTGGGCCAGCGGGTTGGTGGCGGCAAAGAGGAGGGCGATGAGGAAAAGCGCGGTGGCACCATTGCTATAAGTATTATAAGCTGCCATATTCGAGGGGGTTTGGTGTTTTTTTATTTAATTTGTTGTGTCGAAAATAGTTGATAAGGAGCTCTATTTATACAACAAAGTGCATGGGTGAAACTTTTGCAAAGTTTACTTTCAAGTACGGGGTTTTAGGGTTTGGTTGCTCTATAAAACTAACGTACGTACTTTTCTGCATGCATTTTCATCATCAACTTAATTGTATTCATTAATTCCAAATTAAATATTTTCTTGAAAAAAAAAAATTATCTAATATTAATTAGGGATTGTGTCACTCACAAACATGGTTTGCCGGAAAATCGCAATCGATCGTCGTAGACACCGCCGTTCCAGTTCCATTGCAACGTCGCAGCCGGAGCGGACAAATTCTATTAGAATGCGAAAAACTAGAATTATTGTCAAATAAGTTTTTAATCTTAATATTAGAGTAGAATAATATACAAACTATCAGTAAAACTCTAATTATAATTTTAGAACAATTTTTAAAACCTTGAGAAGTAGAATTAAGGGTGAAAAATGTAAGTTATGAAATTATCTCTTTACTTTAAGAGAAATAAAAAGCAGTTAGGACTAAATTGTAAATTTTGAAAATATAAAAAACCTACTCATAATCATGACACGTCATTCCCTAGACCCAAATCAAACTATATGTAAAGTGTTGGAGCTAATTGTAATTTTTCAAAACTTTTAATTAAAAGTGAAAATTCTAGTTTGGGATCCTTAAATCGTCGTTGAATACCTGAAGAAGTAAATTATGATGATTCATGTCGTTCCAATCCCGTTCCGGCTGTTCCAGTACGCATGACAGCCGCGACCATGCGATTTATTGTCATGTCCCGTGTTCCGGCCATTTTTTGCCCGTCTGGCAACGTTTCTCGTTGTGGAACGGTTTGGTTATGGTTTCCGGAATAGAGGGCACCGTTCCCGTTCCGTTCCGACCGTTCCGGCGCCATACTGGTTAACCATGCTCGCAAACATATATATAAGAATTTGGGGTTCAATATATTTGAAAATTACATAATTTTGAAATTTATGGTATTAATATACATAGTAAATACGTAATTGAAGGGTGCTACTATTTTTTTTTTTAATTTAAGGGTGCAAATTGCCAATAATATCTAATACAAGGGTGCAAAATGCCAATTACCTTTTAATTTGAGATGTGAAACTGGGAAATACACAAAGTTTATCAAGTGGTCCAACTTGAAATTCAAACTCCGTATTCGATTTTTATTACAGTAATAATTAGACATTGAGAATACTTAGGACTGCGGCCACAGATGTATTTTGCACATTTTTATTTACACATAATTACGAAAATATACATGTACGGTAGAATATACCAGATGAAGTTCACCGACCTTCCCCTAATATTTAAAGGGCGAAATCCGTACAATTATCATTGGAGTAGCCAAATTAAATTCAATTGTGTCATTCATATAATGCCTGGTTTAACTCGAACTAGAAAACTGGTAATTATTAATGGGGAAAAATAAGTCGATTGTGGTAAAACCAATTTCCTCCGATTCAAGTGCATGTAGTATGCACACTGGCGGAGCCAGTATTTCAAATAAGCGAGTGCTGAATGTATTAAAAATTTTAAAAATTATACACGATTTTTTAATATATTTTAGTATATATAAATAACAAGATCTAAAAAACGAATATAATTTTATTTTTGCTCCCGCCAGCTGAGTATGTGTTGTGTTTCCACTTGAAAAATCTTACAGAAACTCAGAGAAATGTTAGAAGATTCAAACATAAATAAATAGATATGAATAAAGAAGAAAGACTAAAAAGTAATATTGAATAAATCACTGCTCAGTCTTTCAAACCGATACACATCATAGATCCACAGAGGTCTCAAATCTTACACACACAGACTAAAATTGCACCAACAGAGAACATATTTCTCTCTCACAAACCCTAACCCACCCAGATCAGAGGTAAGACCAAGGAAACGAAGCACTCAACAACTCACCCACTCACCATAGACCCAACTCACAGAAGAGAGGGGCAAGGCATTTGAAACTAGGGTTTTTCTCTAGGTCTTATCCTCTGCCACTCCACTCCCCGCATTAAATAGGAGCTCCAGTCAAAGGTAAACGTTGAAGGGACCACCACTGGGACAAGCACGGCCAAGGATGGCGGCGGCGTTTGGCCCATGGTTGTTGGAGCAAAAGGAGTAAAGAGAATAAGGGGACAAAGACGGAGAACAGAGAATGTCTAAGGCACAAAACGAGAAAGGGGAGTACAAGGGGAGAGAGAGAGTCAGAAAGAATCAATGGCCAGGATCAAATGGCTTAGTCCAAGGGCAGATTTTAAACCTTCCAGCAAATTATATTCCCACAAATGGACTTATTCACTGTTGGACCATTTATTTAGTAAGTGTGTTCGTATTTAAGTGAGAAATTGGACTAAAGGCCCAAACACATTGGGCCACCCTCAAAAGTATGCATGCATGCAACAAGCTCTAGTATATATACCACAACCACGTACGTACGCATTCAAGTTATTTATAATTGAATCGCCCGCATGGGTGTAGCTCAACTGGTTCAGGAGGTGATAAGTTGGTACAAAGTCCTAGGATCAAATCCTAACAGCCGCAGTGTGGGAATTTCAACTCCAATGAGGATTGATTCCTTGTGGACACCAGGTCCGAGTCCGCTACCTTATGCAGTGGTATATAATTCACAAATAGATCGTACATTTGTTGCAAAAAAAAATGTGCTCTCCAAAATGGAAGGAGAAAATACATTTTGCATGCATGTTCATTTAATACATTTTGCATGCATGTTCATTTAATTTTAATGTATTTGTTCCTAACTTCTCATTTAGTTTGAAGTATTTTTAAGGAGAATATAATATATATATATAGGGGTACTTTCAGGGTTTGGTTGCTCTATAAACACATAATGACTAGTAAAACTAATCTAATTTGGCTGTAAGAAATGGTCTAGTTGGTGGAGTTCAAAAGAGTATTGTATCGTTCGATCTGATTTCGAATTCTTTTGCACCAACATTTTTAAATCAAAATTGTCACACATGGTTAATCTTATGTGATTTATCTCTCTCGTATTTTACGAGCTATTGTACTAGGAAGGAGTCTACATTAAATGCACTTCAAGTAGTTGCATATATTCGCATATCAATTTCCTCAACTTGATTAACAGTTTGTATAAGGGATTGCACGCGTGAGAAGCACGTGCATTGGCAAATATAAATTAGCACGAACCATTTCTCAAGGCCACACTCCCTACCAGGTCCGGGTCCGCTACCTTAACGGGCCGTTGAGTTACCATAATTTACATTCCTCCATCAATCCTTGTCGGGCCAAGGGATGAGAACCCTGAGGGCGAGGGATTTCGCCTTTTGGTGCAAGCAAACCACACGTGGGAATTTCGTCTTTTGGTACAAGCAAGCCACCAATTAAAAAAAAAAAAAAAAAGGTATTTATATAATCTGAATCCAATTTAGTATCTCAAAGGAATAATAATACAAATTCATCCATCCATTGATTCTTGAGAAATTTAGAAAGTAAAAAAAACATTGATCAAACACAAGAGGATAAAATTCATAATCTCTTCAAGCTTTTCTTTCTAGCATCTATCTTCTTTTTGTCCACCGCCGGAACTTTATTCAGGCCACCTTCCTTCTTCAGTGCCGCCGCTGTTGCCGCCGTCGATCCGCCAACTCCGGCCGAAGCCATAGCGGAGGGGTAGCATTGTCCGTTTTCGGGCTTTGGCGCTAACGGAGAAGGTAATATCTGTGGTGCAGCATTATTATTATTTTTCTGGTCGGCGCATTTTGCAGATGAATTTGTGGGGTCCACATTTAGGGTTGCTGTTGTTGTAGCGGTGGTGGTGGTCGGCTCGGAAATCGATGCAGTTTTGAGCTTCGGCTTTGGCCTTAGTGCATGTATTCCAGTGTAAAGCCTGATCGATAATTTCATAAAATCATAATATAATTAATTACCAATTCTTGAATATAATATCAAGAAGCGTGTTGAGCAACTAAATTAAAAGAAAAATGAATGAAAAAAAAAACCGAAGCGATATTATAATGACTGACCTTGCATGTCTGGCGTACTCGTCGTAATTTTCGAGCAGCATTTTGCCAGCCTGTTCATTTAGAGCAGATTCTGGAAATGGTTCGATCAATAAACATCTGATGACCTGTCGATTAATCGGAGTATGAGAATGTAATAAAAAAAGCAGTTAATATTTAACATTGATCGAAAATGAAAATTGTAGAACTCACAATTAAAACGTGACGTAAGCCGAGACTTGGGCTCCAATCTTTCTTCAACGCATTAACACAAATCTCGCCATTGCTTGCAATATTCGGATGGAATATCTTAGTCAGAAAATAGCCTGAGAGTAAATATAAAACCGATTGCTTAGAAATGGAATATATGCATTTTCTACAGATAATATAATTCACATTTATCGACCCATAACTAAATCAACGAGAAATACAAAAATCTATAGAAATGGAATATGTATTTTCTAAAGATATAATTCACATCTGTCGACCCATAACTAAATCAACGAGAAAGACAAAATTCTCTCACTAAAGATTTGCAGCAATTGGTTCTTGAAATACGATTCTGACAAAATATTTATATTACTAAGTCGTATGTATATTACAGACCTTTTGGAGGGGAATGTGGGAAATCGTGAGACAAAATCAACTTCATGCGGAAAGTGCCGTTTTCGTATGGTGTTCCAGCTGTAAAATCAACAGATTAAAAATCGTAAAAAAATAGGAAACGATTTCTGATTTAAAAAAAAAAAAAAAAAAAAAGGTAAATCGTAGAAGTAGAAGTACCTGGGCCTTCAATGTCAGCAAATATAATCGAGAAATTATCATCGTTGACACCAACTTTGATGCCTTCTGGTGGGGTTTCATCGAGATTTTTTAGCTCCTTTGCCAGCTGTTTTATTACGTTTGGCGGTAGATTCTCGTTTGTTGCCTATAACCAATATGTACAAAACGACGAGTTAGTAATTGTAAAACCTCGCTTTGAAAATGCAAAACGGAACACCCCATGACAAGCAATCAGCCTAACGAGTTTTTATGAACTTCAAAAGTTCGATCTTTATCCAAATTAGTGTTTCTCGTAAATCAAAAGATGTAATATTTGGATGAAATTTGACATTACCATAGCAGATTGTTCACCGAAGGTTAACTCTTGATAAAAAGGGGCTTTCTTAGCAGCTGCTTAAGTACAAGTTTGGGCCCAGAGAATCCTGCAGTGACGACGGGATAAGCATTAACATAATATATATGTTTTATAACAGGGGAGACGTAAATTCGGAAAGAAAATATGTAATCAGAAAAAATGGAACCCGAGATTCGTTGAAAAATGCTTGACCAATAGCAATAATTACTGCCAATCAATAAGAAAAAAATAACAACAAAAAGCGCAGCAAAACTAGATTCAACGACCAATAGAATGCTTACAAGTACTGACTACCCTCCCCAGAAAACGCAAAGAGACAATTGCAAGCAATTTTGTCACAATCCGAATCGTCAAATTAGCATGTTCCCATTTAAGCTAGAAACAACAACACGAACTATTTGTTTAAGATCAGTAAAACAAATCTATCAGCCACTTAGCAGAAACTCGTAATTGATTTTCTTGAACGGAAATTTCGACAAACAAGTAATCGTTTCAGCTACTAGATTTCCGGATAGTTTGTCCTTTCTAATTTTCTCAATCGAAATCATTTCCGACTTCTTGCTCCTAAACTTTCCACCTCCATTATCTAAAACAGGGCAGGGCAGAAATTCCACTAAACCCATTAAACCAGAAAAATGGGTCCACTAATTTGTAATCGAAACGAGTCAAATAGTACCACAGATATATACAGCAAAACAAAAGCCCCAATTCACAAACCTAAAAGAATACGAGAGAGAGAGAGAGAGAGAACTGAAAAGGGATAATGGCAATGTCAAACTCTTGAACCAAAGCTGTATCGATTCCCCTTCTACATAGATTGTGCCCTAGGTCCACAAATTTTTGAAATTACACACAAGGTTCAATTTTTTTCAATTATTTAACTTTTTAAAAAGATTATAAAATAAAATAAAATAAACCCAGAGATTCTAGTATTGGCATAACGAAAAATCTCAACTTTCAAGTAAAGTTCATACCATATAAAATTCATTGACATTAACCTTGGCAGAAAGAAAAGAATTTCACATATTAAAAGCAAAAAATAAAAACTGAAAAGGCTAAATTTTTTTATCCGAATCAGAGTAAGCAAAGCATAAGACCTAAATTCATCAAAAAAAAAATCATAAGACCTAAAATAGAACCACTCAAGAAGAAGCCACCTCAATTAACAGTCAAAATTAAAATAAAACACTTCAAGAAAAGCAATTACAGAAACAAAATCGGAAAAATTAAAGAATCAAGAATTCAAGAATTTCAAATACAGTGGTTGAAATGAGAAAATTAAAAGAACCCAGATGAAAATTAGTACCTTCGAGCAGAGAGAGAGAGAGAGATGGGAATAGAAATCTTATAGAGAGAGAGAGAGAGAGAGAGAGAGAGAGTTTTTCTTGGCTTTCGCTTTCTTGGGTATATAATCAAGACTTTGCGAATGTCATAAATGGAATCGGGATAGCGATCTCTCCCTTGTTAAAATGATTGATGAATTGATTTTGGGCATGCACCAGAAGAGAGAGATAGAGAGAGAGAGGGGGGTAGAGAGAGAAAGAGAGAGAGAGAGTGTGTGTGTGTGTAAATAAATAAATTAATTAATATAAATAATATATATACACGCAGATAAACAGCGTAGGTATGGAAATTTAATATCGACACACCAAATTGTGCTATGGCCACTCTTTGTATTGTACCGTTACGAGACAGCCGCCATACAGCTGCAACCATTTTCAAATTTTGTATTTTTCAACTTTTTTTTTCTTCCTTAAATAATAATATTTATTCATTTTTTTAATCCAAACTACTAATTACTCAACGATTGAATAATTTGCTATTTAGTTTTGGCTTAATTCCACTTTGCACCCTTGAAACATACCATTTTGGCATTTTGCACCCTCGAAAAATAATAATAGCACTCAAAACATAATAAACCATTCACAATGCACCATCAATTGAATAATAAAGGCAATTTCATTTTCCATTGGTGTTTTTCTTTTTAGGGTACAAAATAAAAAAAAATTGTTATTTTCTTGAACCTCAAACATAATTTCGAGTGGACAAAGTGCGAAAAAATAAAAATTACACCGGATTATTTAAAAAATCTACATTTTCTTACAAAAAAAAATAAACTTTTATCACTAAATTATTCGATTGATAGATCTTTTATGTAACTGTTTGAAAATATTAGGTGAAAATAATTGGAAGAAAATATAATTTTCAGATAACTTGATAACGGAATAGCGGTATGATTTTTTTTTTCGTAAAATATTTTATTTTGATAAAAAATATAATTTTTAAATATGTTGATGAAATGTATTTTTATTTTTGAACTTTATAGTTTCAGAATGATTTATGAATAAAAAAAATATTTAACATTTGGCATCCTAAAAAAATATCACTAAAAATATTAAATTTATATTTTTTAGCTTTAAAAATTCATTTGGGGTGCATTATGCATGATTTATTGTATTTCGAGGGTGCAAAGTGCTATTAATTTATTTCGAGGGTGCAAAGTGCCAAAATGGTATATTTCAAGGGTGCAAAGTGGAATTAAGCCTTTAGTTTTGGGTAAATTACGGTCACCCCTCTGAGTTAAGATTAAATTACAAAAGTACTCCTCGTGTTGTGGTAATTAGTAATTACAAAAACTCCATCAATTATGAATCATCTTTGCATTCATGCAGTGTCAAATTTAGTGGAATCTTCTAGGTTGTGTGAAATATTTTTTTAATTTGTACCCGTTTTACCGCATTCGAGCTCTACATTTTGAAACAAGATGATCATAAGATATGTCTATTGGCATTATCCAAACATAAGAGAGTTTTTCGTAATTTAACATTATCTCAGAGGATCACCGTCTTTAGTTTTCAACTCTCACTTATTAAGTTAAATCTTAATTGTATACTAAATAAGTGAACCCCAAATGGTTATTTAATTCAATAAATAGGATTAAATATAAAAATATAATACATATAAGTTTTTTTTTTTTTTTTTTGAGTAAATTCAAGTTCATTACAAGGGAAAGCGGGGGAGGGGGGACTCGAACCCTAGACCTTTACCCTATTGGTAAAGGCTAGGTACCAACTCTCCTAATGAGGGTTGGTAATACATATAAGTTAGAGAATAAAAAGTGGTAGAAGTATAATTTGGTGTGCAAGTTGCACCACAATTATTTTTAGTGGGCCCATCAATTATTTTCTTTTATTATCTTTTTTCCTAAATGAATTAAAAATATAGATGCAGATTTATAATGTGGGGGACGACGTGTTGGCGGATGAGATAGATACTGATATAATGTTAGATTGCATCACTCACGCGCCGTCATCGATGTGAGAAACACTCTCGCTCTCTCCCATGATAAATTTATCAAAATAATTCATAGTAAATAAAAAATGAACTATCATAAATAAATAAATAAATAAATAAAAGGTTGACAGTAGTATCACATTTATGACGATAATTAGAAATTAGTGTATAGCTGTATATGGTCGGAGAATTCGTTAGATTACATTTCTTATGTATTGGTTTAAATAATTAAATGACAATATTAATTAAGTATTTCTATGAAATAATAATACACAAATAGGCTCTATGAAAGAATAATAAACAAATAAAATTAATTATGATATTTTTTAAAATATTCTAACATGGTATTAGAGACATCTTGTTTGTTTTTTTGGTGTTTCTCCATTTGTCGATCGGTTCTATCGAGACGGAAAACGCCGTAAACAAACACTTTTTTCCGTTTTGTCATTGTGATCTTGTATGCGATGCTTCTTCTTATTCCTCGCGCTTCCATCTTAGAGGAAAACATGATAAGTTATTTTTATTTGCAGTCTTATTTTTGGTAATTCTCATATTTTACTAAGTTTTACCGAAACATAAAACACCATAAATTATTGTTTTTTTATGGATGAATGTACGTACTTTTTCCACACAATATTTTTTTTTTTCTTTTTTATTGCGCTTAGATTGTTAAGAGAAAACACCATGACTAATTGTTGTCCTACATTTATTGTCGTGCACACGTTCCAATTAACATTCTGATTAAGGTACCACCAAGATCATCGTTAGCCGATCTATTTCAATCGATGGAAACCAGACGATCATCGGATCTATCAGAAATTTTGCACACATACATTCAAGCACAGCGCACGACTCTCTAACGCTACGCGGCTCATCTGAAGAGACGTTAATGATTTAGTTAACGACTTCAAGTTGGTCTATCACCCACCTTGAGTTTAAAGGGAACTGTTAGTATAATTAGGATTATTATTATATGAATATTTAGATTATGAGTTGTAGTTAGATTGTAACTAGACATATATATCTCTTATTATAAAGTGCGTCTATGAACGAATAATATTACAAATCAAATTAATCACGATAATTTTTTCAAGTATTCCAACATTTATGCCTTTGTTTATTAATAAACAAATAATCAAGATATTGATTCAAATATCAATCATTAAAAAATTATTTAATTAAGTCATTAATATAATAAGTAATTATTTTATAAGTTAAGTTTATTTTTGTCTTCTTATGTTTCTTCTTTAATAATTAATTAGTTGGGCTTGATTGAGGCCCGAAAGTTGTCGAGGAGTGGGCCCAGATGCTACTAAAATTCAAACTTGCCGACGCATTTGTGACCGTTGAAGCATCGATTTCCCATATAGCCGTTATCCGCTGCCAGCTGTAAAATTTTAATGAGGAAAATAAAATATAAATATTCCAATTTAAGTTGACTGTCATGCTTTATACATACATTAATAAATGATTGTAAAATAAAGAATTATTGGTCTTACTTCGAGCACACATATATATATTTAGCAAGATAATAAAATTAATATTTTTTTACTTTTTTTGAAGATGATAAGTTTGTTCTTATCATTAATGTTGTTATTTTCTATTATCAATTTATGAACACATGATTTATACACGAACGACTTCCTGAGTCTTTGCTCTCTATCTCGAGTGCATTCTCCCTCCATCTCAATTATAATCCACTTTTTTGTGTGATCCTCGATCGAACTGTATTTATATCGAGCGCATCACACTTCTCCGCAACATGATGCAGTTTTCCCAGCTGCACGTGGGCTCCAACAAACCGTGGTGCATTTCAAATTAGCTTCTTGCCACGTCAGCATTGATCATTCTTTTGATAAGTAGCATTGATCATTCATTCAACATATTTTTGTCATAAAAATAAATAAACAATTAAAATGTAATGTATTTAAAAGGTATGATGTGCAGTAATCAACTATTTGAATAAAGCATTACGCAACTACATATTCTCTTTACCAAATAAGAGTTGGGATTTGACTATCTTGTATCTTTGTTTTTTTTCAATATTTAAAGATTAAAATATGATTATTTGAGAACAACTTTTTCAATCATTTGCAAAAGTTTCTGGTCTAAAAATAAGCTAATAAAGATGTTTTAGAATCTAAATGGACACTCGGATTCAACGTTCTAATATTTTCTTATTTTGCTATTATTATTAGTGGAATGGCAAAATGATTGGCTATTGGTTAATTGGCTACAAACTTCTTACAAGTTACAACCACTTGATAAAATGTAGAATAAATTACGGCCACCTTCAAGAAAGGTTAAATTACGAAAAAAACCCCTCATATTTTGATAATTACAATCATCCTACAACTATGGATCTTCTTACACGTCCACCCTTATAGTAAATTCAACAAAATCTTCAAGATTCCGTGGAATATCCTCTGATTTGTACGTTTTGTGCAAAGATGCAGTTTCGAATGCACCATCTGATATTTACAAACCAAGAGACAAATCTTATGATCATCTTGTTTCAAAATTTGGAGCTCGAATTGGGAAAAACAGGTACAAACTGGAGAACATTCCATATAATTTAGAAGATTCCACTAATTCGACACTAAAAGAATGGACGTGTAAGAAATTTCATAGTTGAGAAGGATGGTTGTGATTACCCAAACATGAGAGGGTTTTTCGTAATTTGACCTTACCTCAGGGTAGAAAATAAACACACTGTCAATGAAATAAACAGTAGAAAATAAACACACTGTGATGAAATAAACAGCGGGAAGATAACGAAAATGGATTGTTTATAGTATATAAAAGTTCAATAATCTTTTTAACATGGATTTTCAAGCTGCGTTGCAAATTAATGCAGGATCGAAATTCATACAGGTAAAACGACAACAATTAACGTAACCCCATAGCATAACATTGCCAGTTTTAAGAAAATTGTTCGGAGGAGAAATAAAAGCAAAAATAGCAAGAGGGGATCGCAGCCACTAATCTGCATCCATTTCTTCGAGTGCAGCTTTAGCTGCAGATTTGGCTTCCTCTAGTAGATCCTCCGGAACCTGAGTGAGTACACGAGAAATCGAATCAAAAATCAATATCCATTCATAAACATTTCAAGATCAAACAAACCAATAATAAATCAGGCATTATATAACTTTCGAAGCATCTTCGTAGAAACAAGACGTTATTCATGAATTACAGCTAATTTGAACCATTTTAAATCACCCAAAAACTTATTGGCAGGTGGCTGTAATAATTTCATATATGAAGAGCCAATTCGTTTAAAAAGAGATCAATAAAATATCGATTATCATACAGTCTGAACTTTGTTACTAATAAAGACCGACTAATATAATGTCATCAAATAGTCTATGGGTATACGGTATACCATCAATAACATTATGCATGAAAGAAAAAATCCAATGCCAAAAATTTAATCAATGATGCAAAGTCAATGAAGTAAACACAAATTCGGTCCACGTAGACAAAAAAAATCTGTTTGTTTGTTTGTAGAGCCAAGATATTAAATTGATAATTAGAATTGGCGTTTCAACTTTCATAAGAGGAAAAAGTGGTAGTTATTTACTAGGCTTATAAGTTCGTGCCTCTGACAATTGGTACTTTTCATGTACATAGCAAATGTGCTCACTGAATATATTTGGGGCTTCAAGTTCGTTAGTTCATAGTAGATTTTTTTAACGGGTAATAGTACAGTCAAAAAAAAGAGAAATTGCAGTGTATATATACTGTTAAAAGGTAAGTAAACACTTGTTAATTTACCTTTTGATGCTGACGGTTTGACTCATCACAAACCCAACTCATTTCCAATTCAAAGGCCTTGTCCTTTGCCTCGTCATGTACTCCATAAATACTGTTTATCAAAAAGATGGTGCACCAAACGACTAAGACGGTCAATAACAAATGGAAAAAAAAATGCAAAAATGGGAAAGAAAGTTTATATTGCAAAAATATATAAGTTAGCAGCTAATTTAGTACATATCTTGAGAATGAACAACGATAAATGCAGTTATGTACCATAAGTTCACATTTAAACTTCTAGTGTAAGATTCTCGAAACTCATTCAGGTAGCAAATATTAGAAATTTTGATATTTTGATCTTTTAAACACTTGATACCAAAATTATTATCCTTTGGTCTTTTGATCGGGCACAATATATAATAGCAGAAACTTTTCAGATTCTGTACTTTTCCCAAAGTTGTTTTACTATACCTCAACGAATACTTGTTCACAAGATCAGTGAAAGAGTACGTAATGATGCATGAATGAAACACAAAAGTAACTATGAAGTTCTTGATTTGAATTTTGTAGTGATTACTAATAACCAACCTATGTATAACTACGATGCAAGCATTAGAATCATAATACCGAACTCAATTTAGAAGAAAAAACTCACATCTTGGCAACCTCAACAACTCCTTGTCGGCATGTCATTTCAGAAAGCTTTAGTTTTTCAATCTCTCTGTCAAGATAAAAGTTTGTCAATACAGCTTGTTGGATACAAACAGAGATGATAAGATTATATTTAAAAAAAAGTATTGAATATATAAAACCATAATACAAAATTAAGGTCATGTCAATGACTAGTCTTGCGGTTTGGCTTATCAACAAAAAATCGAGTTAAGTCTGTAAGCACAAATAACTTCTGCAACTACTTGAGGGAATGATGTTTGTATGAAAAACAAAACTAAGTAGGTATCTCTGAAAGTCATAGTTATGTTTTTTCGTAATTAGACCAGGCCTCTAAGAATTGTAGAAAAAGAGGGTACTGCAAATTCTGCTTCTTTGTCATAAGTCTTACCAGTCCTAGGTTTTTATTGATCAAATAAGCAAAGAAATTACTTACGTTTTAGCAGCCTGCCTGCCCTTCCCAATGGCAGCACCGAAGTATCTCTGCAGCAATGAGAAAGCAAAAATGAAAGACAGTTTACAATAAGAACAAAAAGACGAGTGATCTAATAAGTAGAACAAAGAAATTTTAATGGAAGATATAAGAATATACTGCCTATAAATGCTATACTATTAATGCAATACAAAGGAACTCTCGAGATTAAATTCAGTAGCCATCATTCGTAGCTGATGAGAAGAACAACTCACATGGGAAATTCCAGATGGTTCAACCATGTACAACTGCGGCCCATCTCTATCATAACCTCCCAAAATCACTCCACATCCAAACGGCCTGTCAAATTTTACGTTGTGTTTAAATGCAGATAGAAGATAAATGTAAGTAACTCAATAAATTGACAACATATGTACTATCAAACCTGAGCCACCAATAGAGTGTGCACAAATGCACATAACTGGCTACACGTGCCGCAAGTTCTTTTACGGGAATTGGTTCGCCGTACACACTGCAAATCAGAATCATATATATGAAACCAAACACCCACACTTGATATCTCAACAGAAGCGTATAATCATAATAAAAGAATCCTTCTATTTAGTAGATGAATAAAGCACGTAGGAAAAAACAAAAGAACCTCTCATAGTTAGTTGCTTCAGATTTTGCTCGTGTCACAATTTGCCTGCCATCTGCAGCAAGCCCAGCAACAGCCTGCAAAAAAGAACATCAGCAACAGTGGCTAGTAAAAGAATGTTTTAAGTAGTTAACAAGTAACTGCTAATGTAAATGGATGGATATATTAACAATACAAAATTTTCGTTGTGTTAAATAATTGCTACCCGTTTCTTTTTGCACATTCATCAGCTTGTATGTCATCAAGAACTGCGCTCAGTCGGTAAGAAATCATCATTACACCAAATGTAATACATTATATCCAACATTACCACTTCATTCAACTCTCGATTAACCAATTTATTACACTCTCTTTCTTTTACAAATTTATTGAATGGGTCAATGGCCCCAGTCCTCCACCGCGGTTTTAGCAACTTATTCCCGTAAAGTATATTGAACTGAATCACCTTCCACTTTGACCTTGACTCGTATTACTTCCCAGAATATATGCACTCGAATTCTTAGCTAGAGACTGTCCAATTTTCTTAACTTTGCTGAGGAACACACTTAAATATAATATAGGGGAAGTCTGCACGGTATGGAGATAGGAAGCACGTGCAATTCTAAGCATAATATGGATAGTCAATCCTTAAGAAAACTTTCTTAGAGTTTTGTGTGACAACCTAAGACCAAAAAATATACAAATTTGGCTTTTATTGATTAAGAGCAAGATAATAAAGCAGAAGATTTGTGAGAAATTCCTAGTATATGGAATACTCAAATGAAAAGGAGGAATACACTTACGAACATAGATTATAAGCTTTGACCTCGTTTACAAATAATCAAGCCGAAAAATAAAATGGTTGGCATGTAATTTGATTGGTAGTTGAAGAAGTCTCGTGTTTTTCAGTAGGCAGTTTCAGACACTTCAATCGTTTCATCTAATAGCTCTACGTAGACTCACCTAAACTGCCTCTTACACAACTGATGGAAATTCAAGCACAAAATCCAAATAAATCGATGGAATTACACTTCGAAAATGATCTCTCAGAAATTTCCTGCTGCCAGAACTCAATAAACTAAAAAATCAAATCGTATCAAAAACCAATCATCCCGACAAATAAATATGTTTCTATGATCACACCATGGGAAGCATTTACCCGTAAATACTTTCCAGTATCTTAACTCACGAATATGTGAATCTTTATAACCTATTTTAGGCACCTGTTTAGCTTCTCATTTTCAGAAAACTACAAATTCGCAGAAAATTTGCTTTCTTCATCGCATATAGCTAAAATTAAGCACATATCACGAAAATCCCAGCAGAGTTTCAAGTAGCAAAACAATTGCATTGAGTTACGTGATTCTGCATAATGCATAACAAAAATTCCCCCTTCCCTCAGATTATTAACCTAATATAAGCCCTTCATTCAAATATTCCATACAGATTAATTAATGAAACTCTTAAACATTCGTACCATGCCGGAATGGCGGTGAACGGCGTGGATTCTCCTGTTAGAACCGGGCAACATCATCTTCGAGGCAATCAATTTTTCCACTCCCTACAACAGCAAATGAAATCAAAAACCCTAATAAAAACCCTAATAAATAAATAAATAAAAATCAAATAAGTGGAAATTCGGATGCGTACCATAACAACGCCGTCCTTGCATTTGATGGCAACCACAGTGCCGCTGTTATCAACAGCTTTGGCGGCGTACTCGATCTGGAAAACGCGGCCGTCCGGCGAGAATGTTGTCACCGATAGATCGTAGCCTGTTCCTATGCTGCTCATTTTTTCCTTTCTCTCTCTCTACTTTCTCTCTCTAAAGCTGTTGCTTATAGTTTCTTGCTGCCGGATTCCGCTTAACTCTGTGTCACTGTGTTCTTACTTTCTTTCTGTTTAATTTAGGGATTTTGTTTTTATTTCACAAACCCCAATTCAGAGTTTTCTTTGTTCACAAGACAGATAGAGAAAAAAGAAAAAATGGAAACGACTGAAATTAGGAAATTACAAGAAACACCCTGGCTAAAAAGACCACAGTTATTTTAATTTATTTTTTTTTTTCTTTTTTTTTTTTTTTTTGCTTAACTTTGCACCCTTGAAATATACATTTTTTGCGCTTGCACCCTTAAAAAGGACTTGTGGCACTTTGCACCTTCAAAACATGTTTAATTATTCAAAGTGCACCCTAGTCTATTTTCTGGACATAATTTTCTATCGTTTACTTATTTATGATCATCGACATATGATCATTTTTGTCTATTTCAATTGAATTTTTCTTCAGGGTGCAAATTGTTAATGTATTTTCGAGGAAAAATGACTTTGTTGACGGTTAGAAATTAGAGGTTGTGGCCTCCCGACATTTCTCAAATCTCTATTATTTTATGTAAAAATTATAAAAAATAAATCGTATATAAAAACATTATCGACCCTCCTTGTGAGAAGCTTAATGCATTTGGTCCCCCGACTTAAAATTTTGACTCCTCTTATATATACACATATTAAAGAAATCAATAAATACGTATGAATTTTGGTAAAAGTCCCAAAGAATTACAAAAATATCCGTAGTCAGTAATTGTTTCTCTCCATAACCTTGAATTAATTAAGAATGATAAAGAGTACAATTAAAAAAACATTAAAAAAAAAATACAATTAATGAATCACTAGATTTATAAAGTCCTAATAATAATAATGGTAAATTACAATCACCTCATGAGGTATGATCAAATTACGAATATCCTCATTTTGTTTGGTAGTTACAATTACACCATCAACTATAAATTTTCTTACATGTCCACCCTTGTGGTTTCAAATTTAGTGGAATTTTCTAGATTATATGGAATATTCTCAATTTTGTAACCGTTTTATCCCATTCGAGCTCCACGTTTTTTAAGCAAAATGATCTCATAAGATGTGTGTTATGGCTCGTATATATCAGATCGTGGTGCATCAGAAAATATAATTTTGCACAAAACGAGTACAAACTAAAGAACATTCCACCGAATCTAGAAGATTATGTTGAATTAGACAGCATAAGGGTGGAGATGTAAGAAGATTCATAGTTCAGGAGTGTAGATACAATTATCCAAACATAATGGATTTTTTCGTAATTTGACCATACCTCAGGGAATGATTGTAATTTACACTAATAATAATAATGAATAAAAAAATTAATATGGTATATGGATGCGGTCTAAAACCCGGTCCAACTACCACCCCACCTACCCACACCTAGTACTACATTGTGGCTGCATTAAAAGGCAAAGACTCATTCGTACGATGAATAAACTCAGTCACTTCGCGGGTTTCATTAACTGTTTGGTTTATTACCGTTGATCCGGAGTTGGCCACCCATTTCCGAGTGATCCAAAAAATTTAAGGTATCGAGTGAGAAATTATTAGGCTTAACCTAAGATCTAACCGGGATATTTCCAGACCTATCTTACGTTTGAAACCCGTATTCCTTTCTTCAACTGAGTGCATAGCTTACAACCAAACGATATCTATTTGGTCGGGCGAGTTGCGCGGTTCTGATGGATCGGACATTGGTTCCAAGAAGTGACTGTTTTTCCGGTTCAAGCGGCTCAAGCTCTGTGGAAATGGATTGGTCCAGGTCAAACGAGACTACGCTATGTGGGCCCATAAGACAGCTGTCGTCACAAGACAACATCGTCGTCATCAGGATTTCTTGTTCTTGTTCTTGTGAAGTGGTTATAAATTCGTGCAGCAGCTTGATCGACTAGATACCGCCGGGCTTGTATGTGAGCCCCCACATTCAGTGTGGTTCCACACATACACAAAAATATGGCTTGAGAGTTATGCTAAACTCTCCTTATCTTAGTTAGTAAGAGGCGAAGGCCTCAATAAATTCCTCGTGTGAGTTGTAGGGGAACCTCCGATCTTTTTCGGAGGATTTCTTCTTTTGTTTATAAAAGTTAAAAAAAAAAAAAAAAAAACAAAACAAAAATATTCTCTTTCTTATCTTAGGACCGAAGTCGGGGTGTAAATGAGTTGAGCTCGAATTTTCAAGCTCGAGCTCGAGTCAATTCTAGTCCTAAATCTTTATAATGTTAATCATTTTCAGGGGCAAGTGGTGACTTAGTGCAACCATTTCCAATTTGTTCCTATGATTTTAGTGATTCTAGCCGAAAAAATAGAGCAGAGTTATCTGTAAACAAGAAAAAACAAGCATGACAACCAAGAATGAGAAATGCAGCAAAAAAGGTCAAAAAACCAGAAACCCGAGAGCTTTAACATTTGCAAACATGGCGATTGTTGGTTTGGTAAAATCCATACAACTCTTATTCCATTAAAATTTCAAGTTTGAAAAAAAAAAAAAAAAACTCATGTCCAATTCACGAGCCAATCAATGGGGGATGGATGCAAAACCACCACCACACACGTCAATGAAGGACTTCAATAATAACAATAATCAAGAAACGGAACATTTTACTCTTCTGCAGCAACCACTGTAATTTCACCTTTGTCGAGCATGTCGTAGAACGACCTAACCTTTCGCTGCTCGTTCCAGTGGTGCATCTTCCATACACTACCTGCAGCAACTCCGAGTGCAATTCCGATTAGTAGCTCCTTCACCACACTCGGTCCTTTCAAAGTGACATGAGCAACCCTAGCACCAGTCATTTTAACTACAGTCCCTGCAATTAATAGTTGCCAAGAAAATAGATATAATCAAATAAAAGAAATGTTAATTAATCAATGATCATTTATTTACTGGCAATAAGTTTACGATTCCATTTGCTCGGAGTAAATTGTGATGCACTTACATTATCATGTTACAGTAAGACTAACTTGACGTGAAATTTAATCCAAAAATACTTCCACGATATTATGATAACATAGTTTACTACTACACCTGTCTGACGTGACTTTACCACTAATAGTCGTTAAGCTGCTAATCGCAGTTAAATCCACTGAATTCACTGCCTATTAATGAATAGAGTATTGAACTACAAAGATCAAATTTTGAGTTAGATGGTTCAGAGCAAACTAAGTTCATTTGTTAACCAAGGAATTAAGAGGATTTCAACGACCCGAGTGAATAAATAAACAGTTTAAAATAATAGTTGCCAAAAGTTTAACGACACGGTGAACAAAAAGGAAGCAAGTAGGGATGGCAATGGGTACGGGTTTGCCGGGTCTTAGACCCGGAACCGACCCGTTTGGGGCGGGTCTGGGTAAGTTAAATGGTTATGGGTCGGGTAATGGGTTTAAGTTTCTAGAACCGACCCGTATAAATATATTATATTTTATAATTAAGCTATATATACAAATTAATTTATGATTTCATTTATCAAACTTTCAATTTTCATCGTGTCTATTATCATTTATCCATTTTTCACCATTTCATTTTTTCGAATCTCATTTCTCGTAAATAAAACTTATCATTTGTCGACCATCGCTAGCTATCTTGCCTTTTGAACTTTACTTATCGTAAAAATTAAATATAATTATTATATAATTTTGTTATTCACTTTATATCACTTGTAGAAATATTTTAAAATATGGTATATTAAGTTTTAGGTTTTTTGTTAAAAGATAGAAGCAAACTATTATGAAAATTAAAAAATAAAAAATAAAAATAAAATTTAACGGGTCTAGCGGGTCTGACGGGTCAGAACCGTTTAATTCGGGTATGGGTTGGGGTGGGTCTGGGTCTAAGCTGAACAGGGTTGGGGCGGGTCTGAGTTTCATATATTTTTCATGGGTCGGGTCTCGGGTTTAGACAAACCCGGCCCAAAACCGACCCGTTGCCATCCCTAGAAGCAAGCAGACTCGTAAATATATGGAACACAAACTATAGTAATTACCAGTTCGAAGTCATTATTTCCAGAACTTAGAAGCATAAGACCGCTTTACTTGGATCGTATTTGAATAATGTGATTAAGAATTTAAAATTTGACGCTCAGCAGAGGTTTCAAATCCAAAATTCTTGTTTCCATTGTTCGAAAAACAAAACTTAATCATTTAGTGAGAAACATAAAATATAACACAAAGTTACTAATACGAGCAACCAGCGAACTACACAAGCAATATTTATGGGCACACTCCGTGCATCAGTAACTCATAGATCGACATAAAGATCTAAATCAAGAATTGTTGGTTTTGAAATACTAAGGGACGAACGGCAATTCATTTAACAATCAAGAAAACTATACCAAATAAAGAGAAGTACACCAGCTGGACCGAGAAACATGATGAAGATATAAAAAGGGGGCTTCTCTAATTTATCCAGAAATTACTATGGTTGTGTTTGCAAAAGCTTTTAAAAATAGATTATGAGCTTTTTTCTGCACATAATCTGTTTTTAGGTGTTTGCAAAACAAGCTTTCGCTTTAGCTTCTCGTCAAATAAGCTGCTTTAAGCTATAATTTTAAAAGCACCCATGTACATGCTTTTTTCTATTTTACTTGATTTTCCAGCTAATTTGCAAACACCCACCCCTACTTTTATAAATAAGCACTTAATTCCAACTTAACTCACAATCACTAACTTATGCTTTTAAATAAGCTTTTGCAAACACCACCTATGTTTAATGTCTTGAAAAACATCGAAAAAAGCCCATTCCAGTCAACTTCGATTTTTGCTGGAAGGTGCTAGATCACACTATTTCTTTAGCAGGTTTCGTATTCATTAACAGCATATACACCACCACGCCTGTTCTTTCGATTACGCATAAACTTCGATTTTTGCTAAATTCTCCAAACGAAATTACAAACATTTAGCCAAAAATTGAAAAAAAGAAATATAAACATCATAGGGAATTAAAGATGATGAAGCCAAACATCAATATGGGGAAAAATGAAAATCCCGAGCCGCAATCGGATCCGCAGTTTGCAACTGATGTGAAACCCTAGCTACTCTAGATTGATTACATGCATATTTTAACAGGGGGGAAATCCAAAACGCAATTGAACATCATCATAATTTAAACGTCCAAAGGTACGGATTAGAATTCAGACATGAATGAAACAAAATCCGGAATCAAAGTAGAACCTCGTACCTCGATGAAGAAATTAATCGAAATCTGCGGCCACTTCCGATCCGAAGAACCTGCAAAGAACTGGAAAATGAGAAATTGTTGCAGAGAGTTTTACTAGTCCGATTGAATTTGTGTGTGTGTGTGTGTGTGTGTGAGAGAGAGAGAAGAGAGAGAGAAACTTACCCTAGAGATTTTAGCTTAATGAATTTTGTGCGAAGCGTGGGTTGGCCCCTGTTATGTATTTTGACCCGTTGCTCGTACCGGGTAAATGGAGCGGCTTAACGATTTTATTTATTAAATATGTTTTAATCAAATTTAATTTAATTAATATCTTACAAGAAAAGAAAAAAAAGATAAAATGACTAAAAAAATTTATTAACTATTTTCCAATAATTGTCTATCAACTAATTACGAACAACAAGGAACAAAATTGAGAAACAATATAGTAAATAGATTATTGAAATTTTATGATAATACATGATTTAAGCATGAAAATATATAGTAATAAAAAAGTAATTGGTCAAATTATGAAAAACAAACCATCTATGTGGTAATTACAATCACCCTCAACTATGAATCTTCTTGCTATTCTATCCTTATGGTGTCAAATTCAACAGAATCTTCTAGATTTCATGGAATGTTCTCTAGTTTGTACTCGTTTTGTGCAAAAATACAGTTTCTAATGCACTATAATCTAATATTTACAAGCCTAAGTGACACATCTTACGATCATCTTGTTTCGAAATATGGAGCTAAAATGGGTAAAACATCTACAAATTGGAGAATACACTACATAATTTAAAAGATTCAACTAAATTTGACATCGCAAAAGTGGACGTGTAAGAAGATTCATAGTTGAAGATTGATGTGGTACGATTCCACGTCACGTTTTGCAATTCCTCCATCACACTTCTTGATCCCTCGCGTGGGCACTACCTGCATCACAAAAAGTTGTTAGGGCCCCGGAAATGGTCCCGCGAAAACCTTCCAACGATCAAGTCAGCTTTGCATGACAGAAGAATTCGGAGAATTCAAAAGAATGCTCGAGAGTTATGAATTGCGTATCTTTAATTGTGAGGTTTCCGGGTATTTATATGGAGCTATATTCTCAAGAGCCTAACTGTTTAAATCATGCAAGTTTGGGTCTTAGCCAACTTGAACTTATATATTATCTTTCATGGATTTGGGCTTAGTTTGCATGACTCTATCGACTTGTCGATACAAGCATGAACCCATCGGATGAGATTGTAATTACACAAAATAGAACATAATTTTTCGTAATTTGAAATTGCCCCAGGCGTTGGCGCAATTTACCCAAAAAATTATCAATATTAAACGTCTACACACTTGATCCCCACCCCCCACCCCACTCCAAATTAAAGAATAGAATAAAATAGAATAAAAATAAATCATAAGAACCACAATTAAAAAGACGAGAACCCGACAAAAATGGAGGCTTTGTCCAAACAATAAAAAACTTACGAGGCTGTCTGATTCAACGCAGAGATTCCCACGAAACGTGCTTTTTCTCTTCTTTTCTTTTACCGACGGACGACTTCTCAAACCCATCTGAGTTCTGTGTTCCTCCGCTCTTTTTTTTTTTGGTTTTTTTGTTTTTTGGTTAATTCTCACGAGAGCACCGAAAATGTCCGGCGGCGGGCGGCGGCGGCGGCTCCTGGCGGCGGATTTCGCGATGTCTTTCATGTGGGTCTGGTCCGGCATCCTCCTAAAGATCTTCGTGCACAGAATATTGGGGTACGGCGCTCATCAATTCGAGGGCGAATTAATCAGATACTCCGTCTCCATTCTCAACATGTTCTTCTTCGCCTTCTTGTCTAAGCTCACCAGCGGTGGGGCCTACAACCCCCTCACCGTTTTATCCTCCGCCATTTCCGGCGACTTCTCCAATTTCCTTTTCACACTTGGCGCCAGAATTCCTGCACAGGTTTCTCTATCCCCTATGTTTGTTCACGCTTGTCTGAAATATCTTGATTTTTCTTACTTTTTTTTTTTTAATTTTCTAATCGAGCTCGAATTGAGATTCTACGTAGCTTATCGAACGAAAATATGTGTTCAATTTTGGTTGAATACCGAGTTTCTTGATTTAATTTTCAGCCATAATTATTTAATTTTCAGCCCTAAAAATGCAATCTTTGAAGTTATGCAATGAATTATGTTGGTGTTGTTATTTACCTTCTCTTATGTGTTTGATTGTTGGAATAATGAGCTTTGAAAATTGGGTTTATATTGATTTTCGATTAGGGTTTTAGTGCAAAAAAACAAAAAAAATGCAATCTTTGAACTTCTTTGATGGTTATGCAATCTTATGTGTTAGATTGTTGGAGTAATGAGCTTCAAATTGTAGGGTAATTTGGTTTATATTGATTTTCGATTAATGTTTTCGTGTTTGATATAACCTCGATTGTGTTGTAATTTGGTTATGTTGATTTGCATTAGTGAAATAAAATTGAGAATCCGATTACAAATTAGAAAAATAAGGGGAATGGGTTGAATTTGGTTATTCTTACACATGGATTTAATTTGTTTTACTCGAAGCCTTACTCTTGTTTATGTCGTTTTTTTTTTTCTCCCTCTTGTTAAGGTAGTTGGATCGGTTTACGGCGTGAGGTTCGTAATGGCCGCATTTCCCGAAATAGGGCGTGGGCCCCGCTTGAACGTTGACATAACAAAGGGAGCACTAACCGAAGGTTTTCTAACATTCGCAATTGTAATAATCTCGATTTGCCTATCTAAAAACATCGGTAATAGTTTCTTCATGAAAACTTGGATCTCTAGCGTCTCGAAGCTGTCTCTTCATATTCTTGGCTCCGATTTAACCGGTGGATGTATGAATCCAGCTTCTGTAAGTGTTTATTTTCGATCTCTATTATTGCCTTGAACTCTATTTTATCGAAAGCATAAAAATAAATAAAATAAATGGTTTTTTTTTTTATTTGTAGGTGATGGGGTGGGCATTTGCTCATGGAGAGCATATAACGAAAGAACATTTAATCGTTTATTGGCTTGCTCCGGTGAAGGCGACACTGGCGGCAGTTTGGGTGGCCGGAATGCTGACTAGGCCTAAGAAGGATGAAGCTTCGGCTGCTAAGAAAGTCGATGCCCGACCGATGAAGTCTGAAAAATCGGATTGATTGAATAGTCGACTTTTTTGTTGTATAGTAGTGTTTGCAAGAATATTAATTTGGAGTTTAACTTGTAAATTCATCAACTATTGTTGAAAAATTGTTCGTTTTTATGTTTGAATTAACTTTGAGTAGTACGAAAATTTGTTCAAATACTTTTTTTCACAATTATGAATGGTTATTCGTAAGCCAGTACATAGTTGAGGGGTTGATTGTAATTTCCCAAAAATGAGGGGGTGTTTTGTAATTTGACCGTATCTCAGGGGATGTCCGTAATTTACCCTTGATTTTCTTATACATGCTAGTAAATACAAATATATCAATCACTTGTAATACATGGAGTACATATCGAACACAACCGTATTTTATATAATCACATCGAAAAGAACGAGCGTCCGTTCTTGTTACCAAACAACAACGACCGTCCGTTGAAAAGAATAATGTGTCGATTTAAAGTATGTATACAAATACACACAACAAATTCTTCTAACAGCAAAGTGCCTTTTTGAAGATTCACAAGAAATATAAGTATAAAAACGAATCGAGGAAAAGTATTTTAAGAAATACGACAAATTCTTCCTCGTTTCTCTTGCAAGAAGCTCGAAAAGCTTTGCTTCAGGCACCGCAAATTTTGTAAGAAAATGCCTTTTGCATATCTGCATCAAGATTTTGTCATAAGCAGAAAGAAAAAGATTAGTACTATTTGACACTAAGCATGTCAATCGATGTTCGAATTAGATTTTACCTTTAAATTTAGGCTCGACTCGTTTCTTTAGTTCGCTCCGATATTATACCATCACATTTCTCTTCTTCATTTTCGTCCACTTGAATTATATACCGATTAGAATCGGATTTTTCACTACCTTCATTGTATTTCATACTCTCCTCAATTTCGTCGTACTCCAAATTACGGAGAATATCAGGAAGTGAAAGGCCGTTGTTTTTCGATCCCATTTCGATGTCGATTTTCTCTTTCGAGCTTGCGATAATACCTCCCATGAAATTATGATTAGTGGGCTCCACAACCGTACCTTCATCTTCCTCAACAAAAGCTCGGAAATCGTTCATCGAAGGCGGAATTCTGGAAAAGAATATTTCTTTGAAATTGTTAATCATTCCTCTGTTATACGGATTCTCCTTCTTGTCATATCGGTATCTGAAGTTTTCGTACGTAGTCTGCATTAAAAAATAATAATTATTGCATCAATATCTACAAAAATAATAAGGTAAAATCCGATTTTAGTAGTCATCGGTGATTATATAAAGTTCGTTCATTTCGATCATGTAATTTAGGCAACGAAACTAGATTGGCGTTAGCTCATGTGAACCGTAACTAAATCTTGCTACAATATACAATAATTGTTCTTCTTGAACGATTGTTTTTTTATCGGAATATTAGTAAATGGACTTAAATAAAAACCTTCAAATGAATCGAAACGTTAGAAAGCGGACAAATGGGCTTATGTATTACATTACGGGTAAATTTCTTGACATCCAAAAACGAAAAGAAAAAAAATAAACCCAAACAGCAAGAATCTTCGAAAAATGCAGTTAAATCAAGAATAATCTAAAAATGCAGTTATATCAAGAATCATCGAAAAACGCAGTTATATCAAGAATCATCGAAAAATGCGGTTATATCAAGAATCATGTTTAAATATCTAATTTGCGAAAATCTTTGGAAGAAGAATCACCTGATTAGTGCTACTCAAGTAGAAGTGGAAAATCGTTAAGCCGCCGACAAACCAGAAAGAAACGAAGCAGTACACAATCAGAATATCCGACAAATAATCGCACGACATAGCTTTCCACACACTGCCCTTTTGGTGAACAATATTGTACCACGACACCACAAATATGTACAAGCACAACGTCATCGAAGTCGATATAAACATGTAGAAGAACCTATAATTACGCTGCACACGCAAATAAAGATTCGAAAAAAATTATATTTTCGTTCAAAACTCGGAACAGAAAATCGATTTTTTTGTTATAGTAATACTCACTATACCGATGCATTGACCAACCCACGGGCAATGATGATCGAATCTCTGCACGCAGTTATTGCAAATGGAGCAATGAGATGCGCGTGGCGGCCGGTAGAGAAGACACGTATCGCAGAATTTCACCTTCACTGTGTGTCCATTTACCGAAACGTCCTTCGTCCGCGGGAGTTTTAGATGAGGAGTTCTGCCATTGACCCACTCCATCGAAGGAGTGTTTATATCGAATGCCTCGTCGCATTCGGGTGGTTTCGTATTCCTAGGTACGATTCCGGGATCTCTACTTGATGTAAGAAAGAGAAAGAATATATCCTGCGAAAGAAAACAAGAAAATCGAGAAAATTTGTACGTAAAAATTAGTCCACTAATCCACTTTAATTACCAAGAAAATATTCTTGATTGTAAGAAAATGGAAAATAAAACTCATGCTTAACACGACACATCTTCTAGTTCAACACGTTTAATCACGTTAAATTCGTGTTTCTAGCTCACCCTTTTTTATAGTATAATTTCGATATTCTCGACACACGTAAGAGATTTATATAAAAAGTAAAAGCATATTAAAGATTGCATTTTTACACACCAAAATGGTTAGTACTATAGCCACTGCAAGAACAGGGTACCACGGCACGACGTCGTTTTTGTTTTCTCGGAGGTGGTGTTTGATTACGAACAAGATCTTTATGCAAAATGCAATCGACGGACCGACAATTAAGAATGTCGACAAGAATAATGAGCTTACGTCGGGACCAAATATCAACCTTCCTCCCAAAAAGAATCTCTGTCAATTCAGAAAAATAAAATTTAGACCAGATCATACGAATAAGTATTAGTCGATCGAAACGCTGTCGAAATACGAAAAAAAATTCAAGAGAAAGGACATATGGCCCCACACACACACACACACACATACATACAAACACAAAGAAGTGCACATACAAAAATAATAATAAATAAATTAAAACAAATTGAAAATAATAAAATATAAATTTCTGAATTTACTAGAGATTAAAAATAAAAATAATTAAAAAAAAAAACATTATAAACAGAAGAATAGACTTTTGGATATGAACTACTTAATAAGTTTAAATTCAAACCTGAGTAGTAAAAATTGAAAAACAACTACTATAAACAACATATATGAAGTATTTCTGGAATTTTGCTGTAGCAAAATTTAAATTCAATCTGGAAGGAAAACTGAAAAAAGTAAATTAAAAAAATAAAATAAAACAATAATAATAATAGTTCCTTTAATTTGTTATAGAATCAAGAAATGCTCTTCATACACAACAAAAATCAAGAAATGATAAAAAAAAAAAAAAACAATAAAGAAAAAGGGTTCTTACATTACTTCCTCTCCAGACTTGATAAAGCCTCTTAGGTTTTTGGGGTTTGTCTATGTCCATAATGAATAAAGCTTAATTAAATTGTAGAAAAATAAAACCCTAAAAACCGAAAACCCAAAATCCGAAACCCGAATTCAGATTATCAATAACAGAAAATCCAGGTTTATTCTCCTTCTCTTTGTTCTTTCACAACAGCCCAAATACAAAAAGATATCATTTCATGCAGAAACATGCATAAAGAGTTTTTATGACTGGTTCGAATTTCAAGAAATCGGCGGTGTGGGTTTTGGCTATTAAGAGAGAGAGAGAGAGAGAGAGAGAGAGAGAGAGAGAGAGAGAGAGAGAGAGAGAGTTTAATTGAGATGATCAAGAAACAGCTGCCATTTGCCCTCTCAAAGACGGGTTCTTTTAGGGAGAATATTTTGTTCTGTTTCTATTTTATTTAAAAATATATACTATTATATATATATTAGTTTTTGCTTTCTGTATATCTCTGTCTGTCTGATTATCAATGTATATTTTTTTCCTGTAATAAAAAATTAAATTGATTTAGTCCCTTTCTGTCAACTGCTGGCGGATCTTCCAACTTCTGATAATTTCGGGGAATAATTTCAAAATAATTTTGTAATAAAGCGACTTAAAAAATGATTAAAAAATGTTTAAGGGTGCAAAATGCTATTAAATTTTTTCAAAGGTGTAAAGTGTCAAAATGCTATATTTCAAGGGTGCAAAATGAAATTAAGTCTATCATTTCTAGACAAAAATAACGCGGAGAACTTGGCTTAATTAATTACGTGGGGAGTTCCATTCCGCTCGAAGAGTTTAAAAGTCAAATTAAATTAATAAATTGCCAATATGACATTATTTAAAATTATAATCATTTTTTGAATTACTATATGATATTTTAGACTTAGTTGTTGGCCTTTATGTAACGTGCAGGCACAACATTAATTCATTTTCTTCTTTGCTAATAAAATATACACTTTCATTATTATATTTATAGTAAATTAAATACCATTTATAATTTTATTTAAATGCGAATGAAGTTCAAAATATGAATATACGAAATTGATACCTTCTTTAGTATTTTTCTCTATTCTCATTATTTCAACATTATATATATATATATATATATATATATATATATATATATATATATATATATATATATATATATTGATACGGACTAAATTGTCCTCAGGGGGTTTCCTAATCATTTATTGGGCTGTGGATTGAATCTTCACTGGGATTTGGCCCAAAATCATATCAGGCCCAAGAAGAAGAGTTAGGGCAAGTTTGCTTATTTCTTGCTCATCAAGTATCCTCACCTATAAAGAGGGAGTTATTCTCAACTCATTACTTCTATGCTCTCTCTTACATATCACACTCGATTATCTCTCTATAAACACTGACTTGATCGTCGGAGCTTCTACGCCGGGAAACCCCTCCCGGTGTTGCAGGTACACCGCCGGCGGAATTTCCGGCAAGCTATCATCAAAATATCGTCCAAAGAAGACAAGTCATCATCTCAACAATTTTGGAGCAAATCATATATATATATATGTACTTAATATATATATATATAACAGGAATATACATACACACGGATGCTTGCTCGTGCATGCTTTTATTTTGTCAGCATGTTAGGCTATTTTGGTTGCAAGTCAAATTTATTGAATATTGGAATTAATTCATAACTTCAATATTCAATTTAATATAATAAACAGATAAGAATGAGGAAAAAATTGTAACAAGAATATAATGTTGAAGTTTAGACTATTTTTCGATGTAGTCCCATTTTTTGAAAGTATTTCGCAGTTCGTTAGCATTAACTAATATTTAATTTTTAACATACGAAATCAAAATATTCGATTGAGTAGCTTCAACTTGACAGTCTTCATTGCAGAAAAAAAAAATCAAAATTAGTGAGATTTCAAGAAGAAGTATGAAATTTTGGGACGGAAATTTGTGAATGATTTCATAAAACTCTATAATTTAAAAAATGTAAAATTAAAAAATATATATATATATAGTTTGAAAACCCCTGGACATACTGTATAGTTGAGTACAGAAAGATAGAGAGACAAGCAAACATTTGTGTCTGCTTGGTTTAAAATTGAAGTGGCAAAAAATTGTTTTACTTTAATAGTTAAAAAAAAATTAAATTAAATGAATAATAAGTTATTAGGTAGTGATTGTTGAATTAGTAGCACCTTGACAAGTTAGCACGATGTTACTTGTCGAATAATAAATATATTCCGGATTATTATAACATATATATTAATAATAATAATATGAGCTGATGACATCTGTCACATGTTGGCAGTTAACTATAAGGGAAAATGTGAGATAACCCCCTAGTTTTGAAAATATATATAAGGAGGTCCAATTGATTTTTTTGTTCTAGTCAAAAACCCAAAATTTAAACTTAATTTGACAGACCCCCCTAGACAATTTGAAATACCTATTTTACCCTTATATAATTAGTTTTTAGAACCACGTTGTTACCCGATTCATTCATCTTTCTCTCAACTCCCCAAACCCTAGCCCTCTCTTTCTCACGATGCCCTCTCTTATGCCGCTCGCTGCGTTCCCTCTCTTCCTCCGTCGGTGTCACCGACGCTTTCGTCGCTGCACCATCTAGTGCTTGGCCGTCAAACCTGCCCCTCTGAAAGGAGACTCTCCCCAGATTCGGGGGCGACCATATCTTCCGTCGCTAGATCCACTGCAACTCCACCGCTCCTGCTACTCGATCGGCGATCCGATTCCTTCCAACCGGAGAAAGAAATTTAGTTTTCAGGTAAAAAAAAAAATAGATCTGAATTAATTCTAAATTAATGATGGTTGTTTGTTTTGTGCGGTGTTGTGATTATTTGGTTTGCTGACTCATCCTCATGGGAGGGTAATTTTGAGTTTGATAAGTTTTTGTGATTTGTTTTTTTTGTTTTTTTCTGTTTTTTTTTTTTTTTTTGTTTTTGGTTTTTTTTAAATAAAGCATTCTGCAAAGAATAAAATAAAAAGGTTATCATCTTCAAAGCTCACATCTTTTTTTTTTGAGTAAATCTTCAAAGCTCACATATAATACAACAAAATAGCAGGCTAAAAGCATCGTGGTTGGTTTTTTTTTGGTTTCGTTGCTCTCTTTCTTCCCATCAATTTTGTGTTAATCAATTTAATTATTAGTAGTCTTTTGTTAATTTGTGTTTCCTGAGTTTGAAATTGTAAATTAATGGAAACCATTGGTCTTTTCTTTGAAGCTGTCCAAATTTTGATTGAAGCTGTAGATGAATTTGGAAAATATAGTCAAACTACAAATTACTATTGTTCTATATAATAATGTGTAGTAATATATAGTAACATATAGTAACATATGCATGTGATTGTTATTTTGATCTGTATTTATTGGTTATAAATTAATATATAATGTAAATATTTAAACTGAACTTGATTTTTTTGTCACAGGTCTTCGTGTTTGACAACCTCTATGTAATAAGTTTTGTCGAGAGATCGGGGTTGTTGTCGTACTGAAAAGTGGGATTTGAAGCTATATACCACAAACTACACTATATATGACTATACTCATATAGTCACATGTGGTCATATACATGTAGTCATATATAGTCACATGTGGTCATATATATATAGTCATATATAGTCACATGTGGTCATATACATATAGTCATATATAGTCACATGTCGTAACATGTAGTAATATATAGTCATATATAGTTACATGTAGTCATATACATATAGTCATATATAGTCACATGTCGTAACATCTAGTAATATATAGTCATATATAGTCACATGTCGTAACATGTAGTAATATATAGTCATATATAGCCACATGTCGTAACATGTAGTAATATATAGTTATATATAAACTATGTGTTTTTTCTGATGTATAGTGATTTTGATGATTGTGTATATCCAATTTTTTGTTCGGTACTAATTGATTATGATGATTTGTTCTTTGTTGAAGAACATATGCATGTAATTGTGTATTTCGATCTATATTTGTACAAGTTGATTTATAATATCAAGATTTAAATTGTGATTTTTGTTGTTGGTGTCGGTACATATAACTTTGGAGGAAAAAAACTGTACATGATTATATATAACGACTATACGTGACTATTGAACATGTACTATACTATAGTCATTTGTAGTCAATTTATGTACAGGAAATTTATTAAAAACAAAATTTTAAAAAAAAAAATTAACAAAACAAAAAAATTAAAAAATTAAAAAAATTAAAAAAATTAAAAAATTAAAAAAATGAAAAAATTAAAAAAATAATAAATAAAATAATAATTAAAAGTAATTTAAAAAAAATAATAAAAAAATAAAAATTTATAATATTTTATTGAAAAATCTGAAAAATGATAAATGCAGGTCTAAAAATGCTGTATACAGTTTCCTATTGTGCTGAATGCAGTTGGAGAAATGCTGAATGCAGTTTCCTATTGTGCTGAATGCAGTTGGAGAAATGCTGAATGCAGTTGGGCGAAAATTACAAATAAGGGCACAATAGTACTTTTGCCTCTCTAGGGGGTTATCTCAAAGAAAGAATTTTAGGGGTGGACTTATCCCTATATATTTTCCATTCTAGGGGTGTATATCAAATGGGCCCTAACTATAAAATATTGGGGTCTTTACAAATAAGTTCATCAATGGGTACTTATTTATAGACAGATCAAGACAAAAAATTCATTTACCAATAAGTCCACACTTTGTCCAGATTTTTGTAAATGACTAAAATAACCTCATACTTTAATATGCTCCAATTTCATCCTTAACTTTATTTAACCTCAATTTGACCCCAAATTTCACAAATTATTCAATTTCGACCTAAAACTTTTTTTTTTTCAAAAACTTTTTTTCCGCCGGATTCCGGCGTTGACTTTTCAAAAAAAAAAATTCGCCGGTTTCCGGCGTTGACTTTTTCGATTTTTTTTTCTTTTTTTTTTTCTTTCTGTAACCTTTTTTTTCGTTTAAACAGCAATATTGTTGTGATTGACAGTAATATTAACTATATTACTGTTAAACACAGTAAAATTAAACTAAACTACTGTTTAACACAGTAATATTGCTATATTAATCTCTAGCACAGTAATATTAACACAACAAAACTCATTATTATTATGTAATAGAGTAATATTACTATGTTGACCGTTCAACAAATGTAAACATAATAAAAAACCAAAAGAATTAATATTACTGTGAGTGACAGTAATATTATTATAACAACATAATATTACCGTCAACCACAGTAATATTATTACGTTACTCCATGAATAACACAAACAAACAAAAAATCCAAACAAAATAATAATATTGATGTGGTTGACAGCAATATTACTATAACAACAGTAATATTACCGTCAACCACAGTAATATTATTGTGTTTACAGTAATATTACAATAATAGACAGTAATATTATTACGTTACTCCGTGAATAACTTAAACAAAACAAAAAACCCAAAAAAATAATAATATTGATGTTGTTGACAGTAATATTATTGTGTTTACAGTTATTTTACTGTCAACGACAGTAATATAATTACGTTGACTTGTCAACAAATCAAACAAAAAAACAAAAAAAAATAATAATAATATTACATTAATTTACTGTCAACGGCAGCACAATTACATAAATGTATTGTCAACGGCAGTACAATTACGTTAATTTACTGTCATTGACAGTATAATTACATTAATTTACTGTCAGTGACAACACAATTACGGTCAACGTTTAGCGGCGGACGTAAAAAAAAAAAACCAAAAAAACACTAAAAAAAATCAACGCCGGAGACCGCCAGAAACCGACGAAAGAATCCCGAAGAAAAGAAAAGAAAAAAGCAAAAAAAAAAAAAAAAAAAAGAAGTCAACGCCGGAGACCGGCGAAAAAATCCGAAAGAAAAAAAAAACAAATTTTTTTTTTTTTTGAAAAGTCAACACCGAAATCTGGCGGGAAAAAAAAAGTTTTTGAATTTTTTTTTTTTTTGAAAAAAAAATGTTTTGGGTCAAAATTGAATAATTTGTGAAATTTGGGGTCAAATTGAGATACAATTAAGTTAAATGATGAAATTGGAGCATATTAAAGTATGTTCCAAAAAAATGTCAAAATTGAATTTTTGTGGTCAAAATTGAATTTTTGTGGTCAAAATTGGATTTTTGTTGACAAAATTGATTAAATTGGGGTTACAATTATTAATTGAGTATAAATGGTTGAGGGTAATATTGGGATATACATGAGTGTTTCCTTTATTGGTGAAAGAGATATAGCCTATAAACCTAGAATAATAAACATGCTTGGTTGGGGACTTTATCACAAAAACCAATAAAATCTTTGCACAAGACCAGTTCCTAATAAATGTCACAATATTTTGACCTATATGGTATTTCAATAGGGGCATGCTAAATCCCACACTAAAATTTACTAAATCCCAAACATAAATTAGAAAAAAAATTCTCTAAAATGATTTTATCCAACTTACTCAAAATTCATTAATTTTTTACGTGAATAATCATAAAAAATGAGCTCCGTTTTATTTAATATTTATTCAATTTCATTAAGCCTTTTTAAATATTCAAATTCATATCAATTCGAATATTTTTCTTAAATTCCAACTTTATTTTAGTTTTGAACATGTGAAGATTTTTGTCAAATTCGAACTTGGAATGCTAGGGATGTTTTTAATGTGTAATTTTGTGAAAAAAATTAGGGAAAAATGGTGGGAAAAGAGAAGAGAAGATTTTGGTAAAAATAGTGTGGAATTTAGCATTTCAGATTTCAATATACATAGACACCATTTATATGCTAATTCCATCACACAAAAAAATAATTATACCGTCAAAATTTAATACATCGGGTGGTTTGCATTATAGATCTACATAAATAACCATATATGAGTTTTTGTATTATTACGTGTATATCGGTAGTGTAAGATCACGCGGTAGTGTTATTTTTAAGTATAGCTAGCATCTACAAAATTAGTAATTCTCAAAGTTTCAATCTAGTTTTAAAGTAATTGGGTACCCAAAAAAATCAAAATTGAATTGAAAGACTATGTAAAAATTCTCCCTGAGGTAAGATCTATTACGAAAGAACCCCTTATTTTTTCGTAATTACATCCATCTCCTATAATTTGTAGACTTCTTACATTAACACCCTATTATAGGGGGTGAATGTAAGAAATTTACAAACTGGAAGTGGATGGATGTAATTTTTCACAAGAATAGTTTTTCTTTTTTGTAATTACATTTAAGAGGTGGTTGTAATTTCCTTTAGTAAATAAGATGGGTAAATAGCCCTTAACCACTATGTGGTTACATGCTTTTGTAGATGAGCCCCTTGTACTTGTAATATCGGCACATAATCCCCTTGTGGTTTACATGGGGTAGGCTCTGTTAGTTTTTCTGTCAAACTTAACCGCGTGTCATCTACAAAAACTTGTAACGAAAGGGGGTTAAGTGCTATTTACGAAAATAAGATTAAACCCACAGGTTTGGGGCGTTTATTGACTTCTAAATTCTGGGCTTTTTAGCTTAATTTGGCCCATCACTAATCAGTAAGTAAAATTTGCTTAACTGTAAATTCACTATCATTAACAACATGAATATAATATGAATTATATTATCAAACAAAACACCAGAAAAAATAAATAAATAAAGAAGACTTAATTGTTAGAAGACAATCTTTTCAGTAATTCAAAGAAATAACTCATCACTAATCCTTCATCATATTTTCCTGCTGTTCCAAAATAAATATTTAATTCTAATACTCCAAAAATAAAAGAAAAATGGAATAAAATTAAAAAAAAAAAAACAATAACAATAAAAAAGAAAAGAAAAGTAAAAATAAAAAAATCTATCATGCCACATATAAGAAGTAATTTACATACAATGTTTCAATATTCACAGCAAAATTCATTCCTTAGCCAAATCTCCAAACCTTTTTACTCTACAAAAACAATCAACATCACAAATCAAAACACACACATATAATTAAAATTAATTAATTAATTAATTAATTACCTTAATTATCTCCGAAGAACTGCAGACGATGTTCGCTGAGAACCGACGTCGGTCCCACAGTCATCATCATCTACGACACTATCTTCGACACCATACTTGCCTTCTTTGTCGTCGGAATGAAAGAAATAAGGATCACTACTAATTTTGCCACCTTTATCTTTCTTCAAGCTTTCATCAATCCCACTATAATCCAAATTCTGCAGAATATTCGGAACCGCCTTTCCATCCTTGCCATGTAAACCGAGCTCTAGGTCGATTATCTTCCCGTTCGGTTTGATGATTTCACCCCCGAATTTTCTAGTTATCGACTCCGCAAACAAATCGTCTTCTTCCGTCACCCACTCGCGGAAGTTGACCAAGGAAGGCACCGTCTTGGAGAAAAATATTTCCTTGAGGTTCTTTACCATCCCTCGATTGTACGGATTTTCCTTCTTGTCGTAACGGTATCGGAAGTTCTCGTACGTCGTCTGTCCAAATATTGAAAAATAAATAAATATTTATATAAAATGATTAGTGGTGGGGGTTATGGCCCCCATGCTGGCTCCGTCACTGAATATATATTTGTAAATGGTTTACAAATATCATGTATGTATACTTAATGGTCAAGTTTTTATTGAGATCTCTTAGTATGATTAGTGAAAAAGATTTAATTTTTGTATTAGAAGAAAAAAATTATTAAAATTTTGAGAAGTCTTAGGAAGAGAATTAAGGTTGCTAATTACCTGATTAGTGCACATAAGATATAAATGGAAGACGCTAAGCCCGCCGACGAACCAAACCGAAATGAAGCAGTAAAATACTAGGATAACCGATATGACATCCTCGGACATAGTTCTCAATACAGGGCCCGGTTCTTTAAGGAGGTCCAACAAAGAAAACGTGAAAACGTACAAGCACAAGAGCGTTGACGTCGACACAAATAAGATGAAAGTCCGGTAATTTCTCTGCACCAAAATCAACACCAAAGAAGATAAATTATACGAATACTCGTCGACTTACCTAACAAAAAGAATAACAAGTTTATTGCATTTAGTATTTCTGTGTTATCTCGAACTGCTAAAAAACTCCCCGTATTATTAATATTAGCAAAAAAATTATTATTATTCATTAGCCAAAAGTTTAAGCAGGTGCGGCCCTGGCCCAGGGCGAGCAGGGCCCAGGCCCAGGGCCCACTTTCCAGTGGGACTCAAAAAATATTATATTTTTTATTATTATTTTATAATTATTTATCTTTTCTCTTCTTTCAGCCCCTATTCTCTCCATCTCTTAATTTTTCAACACCCACTTTCCATATTAATTTTTTTGACCCAATTCATTTTGTCATTTATCTCTCTCTATTTTTTTTTCACCCAATCTCTGTTGTCCTCTTACCCCTTATCTCTCATTTACATTGTTTTACTCTAATTTAATTTTTCTTGCACTCCTATATATTTCTCTATTGTTAGTTGCTACAATTTAATCTTAGTTGTTTTTTCCATGTTATTGGTGTTTTTATTTCTCAAAAGTAAAATACTTTTGTTAAATTAAATTTTTTTTTCTAATACCCATTTTTATTTAATACATCTATATCTTACACACACGCTATATATATATATATATATATATATATATATATATATATATATATATATATATATATATATATATATATATATATATATATATATATATATATATATATATATAATTCGGAATTTAGGGCATCGATTTTAAGTCTTGCCCAGGGCCCCCAATCACCCAGGACGGGCCCTGAGTTTAAGCTGTTAGTGAGATGAATCATTTAATATTTATATCTCCAACAGTAAAAGTATACGGATAAGCAAACTTACGACTCCAATACACTGTCCCACCCAGGGGCAGTGGTGATCGAATCTCTGGACGCAATTATTGCATATGGAGCAATGAGAAGCGCGCGGTGGGCGGTACAAAAGACAAGTGTCGCAGTACTTCACTCGTATGGTGTAGCCGTTGACAAAGACATCCTTAGTCCTAGGTAACTTCAAATCGGGGGTTGCACTATTGACCCACTCCATTGATGTAAGAGAACTCGATACGCTCTCCGCTTCTGGCGGCCTCGTGTTCCTAGGTACTATCCCGGGATTTCTTGCGGCCGTCATGTATAGAAAAATCAAATCCTGTGAATTAACAAAATTAAATAATCACAGTGATATATATAGAGTTTTTTGCATTTAGCTAGTACTCGTGTATTGTATCTAATTGCGAAAAATTCCCCGTCTTACAAATATTAGCAAAAATCTCATTATAATGTTTTTTTATGGCACACGACCCCCTAAAATGTGAGTTTTTAGGGGGTATTTTGCTAAAAAAAAGTCGAATCACGGGGAGTTTTATAATAATATAACATTGAAAGTTTTTTTGTAACAATTAGAACAAAAACATGGGTGCCAAAAAAAATGTTTATTGCTTTCAGCACACATGTGTTTACTCTAATCGTTAAAAAATTCTCGTGTTATTAATATTAACAAAACAAAACCCTCCAATTCAACTTTTCTAGCAAAACTACCCCCAAGAACTTCACCATTTGGAGGTGTGTGTAATAAAAAAAATGCATTATAGGAGGGTTTGTAATTTGCTAATAATAATATCAATTACATTGTTACCTTTTTTAGCAATCCGATACAATACAGGGGTACCGAATGTAATAAAAATGATTTGTACAATATTGTTTTCTTGAAATGTGAAAGAATTTGCTAACCAAAACCGTGAGGAGAAGCCCGACTATTAATACGACGTGCCCGTATAAGTAGTTGGCTTCGGAAATGCCCAATAGTGTATCCATGCAGAATACTAACGCCGGTGCTCCAATTAGAAAGGTCGATAGAAGAACCGACGATGCATCGGGACCAAACACCAATCTTCCTCCACATACAAATTTCTAAAAAAAAACGGAACATCGTTTAATTATTCGTGGTGATCTAGTACGTAATGAAATCAAAATTAAATTAGGGGAAAAAAAAATAGATAGAATTAATTAAGAAACTTACATTGCGACCCTTCCAGACTTGATAAAGGCGTGCCTTCAATCTGGGAGGATCCATGGAAATGGCGGGCGGGTCAGAAACTTGATTTCCGGACCCACCCATCAAAGAGAGAGATAACTGTTTCTCAATCGTTTTTTTTTTCTTTATTTTTTTTTTATTACGTACGTAAAACGGTAATATCCATTAATGGGTGAGAGAACAAGATCAAGAAATTTCAGAGGGGGGCAGCAGTTTCAGGCATGGAGAGGAAGAAATCTGTAAGAAAAAAAAAATCTCTGTTTTTTTTTTCTTTCTTTTTAAATTTTTTTTTTCTTTATTTTTGATCTACATCCTCTCTCTCCCTAAACATAATTTTCCCCACTGATTTCTTTGCTTCCTCTCTCTCTCTCTTTGGTTGTGTATTTTCTCTCACAAAGTGACTATTTTTATTTTTTTTTCTATTTTATTTATTGGATGTGACAACGGTTGGCTTTCAGGGTATCCAAATTCAAGCGGATTTTTCGCGCCAACATCTTCAATTAGTATATCACATTTTATTAATTATTTTAATTCATTATTCAAACTCATGAAAATTAGAATATATTTATTTTAATTCAGCTTATGTAAAATAGTATGCCTTTTCAAAAAATAATTTTTTTATTTTACATACCCCTAGCCACCAAATAAACTAGGAATAAACTCAAGCCCAAATCATCATTTGACATACCCCTAGAGAAGAGAAAGTACTATACTACCCTTATATTCAATTTTCGGTCAAACCGCATTCAGCATTTCTGGTCCTGCATTTATCATTTTCGTTGATTAATTTATTATTATTATTTTTTTTTTCATAATAAACCTTTTTGTTATATATATATATATATATATATATATTAATTTTTTTTTTAATTTTTTTAATTTTTTATTTAATTTTCAAAACAATATGTTTATTGTACTGAAAATATCTACATGTAACTATAGTATCTATAGTAATTCGTAGTTATGTTCGTTTTGTTGACCCATATTTTTAGTCGATCAATTGTATACGTTCACGAATACTGACTTATATAAAAGAAATTCTTAAAAACCAAAAAAAATTTACAAATTTCAATATTTTTATTATAAATCACCTCAGAACCAATAAAGTACAAATCGAAAATACACAAATATATGCATATATAACTACATGTTACTATATGTATAGTAATGTATAGTAATATATAGTAATGTATACAGTCTGTTGAACAAACACTGTAACTTGAAACATGTGTAACTTCAACCAAATTTTTGACAACTTCAAGGAGTGGATCAATGGCTTTCATTAAGCTGCAATTGCAAAATCAAAAAAAAAAAAAAAAAAAATTACTTTAGTGCAAATCAACAAAATTTGAAGAAACATCAAAACACTCAAAAATCAACAAACACTAAGAGATCGAGAGATAGAGAGAGAGGTTATTGCTGGGAAATGCTACAGATTTTAAATCAAACAGACAGTGACTCCTCACCCCCTCGCCTCTTACCAAAATCCTAGCCACCGCTAATAACCACCAACTGTTCCGTGCGCCCACAAATGCAAAAAAAATATAGAAATAAATCTGAAAACATAAAAAGAAACAAAATTACCATCAAAATATAGATCTCGACGAGAAGAATCCAGCGGTGGGTAGCCCGTCAAATTTCGACTGGTGGAACACAAAGAACACCTCCGGCAAGAACACCGTCGTCGAATTGAACGAAATCACCACCAAAAGAAAGAGCTCGACGAGAGGAATCCAACGGTAGTTAAACCATCGAATTCCGACCACCAGAGAGAGAATTATCGCTCCGGGAAACAATTTTACCGGTGGGAGGTTTGTGGAGGCGGGATTTTAAATCTGGGAGAGTAAGAGAGAGACCGAAACGTGTTGGGCTAGGGTTTAAAACTGATTTTAAAAGGGTATTATAGGGACTTTAGGGTGGCTCAGGGGGTATGTCAAAATATTTACGAAATGAGGGGGGGGTTTCCCCTAAAGTGTTATCCACTTGGTAGTTAGTTACTTAGTTCTATATAATTTGGAAATGAGGGGGGTCTACAAAATAATCCCCAAAAAAAATATAAAATAGTATTCATGCATCACTAGGAGTGGAAATCGGACGGATCATATCGGAGTTAACAAATTTAGAAGAAAAAAAACCGGTCTTTTGTTGAACTAAAAAATAATTCCAATTGTGTTTAAAAAAATAAAAAGCAATTGGAAATTGGAATGAAAAAAACAATGTTCCAAATTGAAAATTCTCGGACATGAAATGAATGAATTCGAAATTTTCATTTCTCTATTCCCATATAATATATCATACATAATAATATTGATGTTATATGTATAATTTTTGGAAAAAACCAGAATTTTCGGAAATTAAAATTGGAACAAGACCGGAGTCTAACGTGTAACCTAACTTCGTTAAAAAAAATAGAAAAATAAAAAATAGAATCTAATAGTGACTCCAATCCCATTACAAAAAAAATTGAAAAATCGAAAACCGGAACTTTCAAAATTCGGAATGAAAAATATATTACTCTCGAATGGAATCAGCGGAATTCGGAAATTTCGTTCCAATTTTAACACTAATTTCACACACTATACATGTTTGTAAATACACAGCAACTTTTCTCAAATTTGTTCTATGCTACACCTCATGAACCTCGCCGAATTACATCCCGTCATACACAAATTCATACATATTTCACACACGTTCACCTGCATATGCATCCACCAGAACCATCATCACGCACACGAGTAGCATCGAAAATAAAATCGTTATCAATTTCATTCCCAAAACCGTTTTCCGTAAATTCCTCAATAACATCCCCTGCATATTCACATATAAACCCTCCCGCACGAATCAGATCTAAAGACCTAAAACCCCAACCTTTATTCTTCGTCTTAAATACCTCAAAACAAACCATTACACCTATTTGTGACATGCGATTCCTACAGTTTGAAGGACACGAACAAGTGAATCCACACTCGTGTATCAACCATTTGTTTGAAGAACTCCAATCGATGAATAAGGGACGTACAAAACCGTCATTTTTTCGATTGCAAGGACAGCTGGCATCCCCTGATTGAACCCCCCTCCCCCCCCCCCCCCCCCCCCCCCCCCCCCCCGAGCAACGACATCCCGAATAAGGTTTCGATGTCTGAAAGGTTTAGCGTATCTAAGGCTATGAACGTACGTGAAATGTGCGGGCCCCATTTCGCCGTCAACATTGTTCACCGACCAGACTAGCCTGGAGGGCATTTCCGTCTTTTTTCCGAATCGATTCCCTCAAGGAGAAACCCTCCGGCTGGCCAGGCACCCTCACAAGCTTATACTTGAAAACACTAAATCCAGATTTAATTTTTTCAGCCCTCAAATCTCGAATTTGGTACAAGCCATCGTAAACGTAAATCTTATCATTCGAGCCATCAGTAGTATCCTTTAAGCCCCTTATAACTCTCACCTCATTGCCTTGGTGGAGGCTATTTTCAAGACCTAGGTTTCCCCTCTCTCTCGCTTTTGATCGAACACTTGCCCATCTTTTCTCTGTACACCGCCCTGCCCTGTGTAAATCAACACATCTCCATTGTCATTGTCATTGTAATTCTACACGAAATGCATGTTTGTATTTCGTGTTATTCTACACGAAATGGACCAACATAAGAAATATCATGCATTCCGTGTTGTGTTACACGAAATGCAGTGCAGTGTTGCATTTTGTTAACCCAACACGAAATGCATACAAAACGTTGAAATTCGACAAAATCGTATTTTTTTTTCTTATAATCACAATAGAACCAGAATCGGTTTCGACAATATTTATAATTGTTGTGTTTAAATATTATATTATCAAAAAAAAAAAAGTTCACGATTTAAAAAGTACGTTCTAGAATTTGGAGGTTGAGAAAATTTGATAAAAATGCTAAAGAGTTTTTCAATAAATGAATTAAAGCACACTGGAGATGAAAAAACAAGAGTAACATGCAAAAAGTACCCATGTGTAATCCTTATCTGCCAAAAAACCCCCATGTAGTAAAAAGAACTAGCAAAAACTTCCCCGTGGCAAAAAAACCCTTTGTACAACTAGAACGTGTGTTACACTTATCCCTTGTGTGATT